TTTGGCATTTGCATCAAAATAATCTATCAAATAGACAAGATCAACTCCTATTTCCCATTGTTTCGATTTCAACTAAATTTTTTTTCCATGACAAAATGATGTGTAGTCCACATTTTTTTGACTACATGGAATATTTGCCACTGAACGTCATATATATTTTAACTAATGAACACATATAATAGGAAGCTTTAAACATTGTATATTAAAGAAACCTATTTAAAGGGTAGTTTTATACAGATAAAGTGATTCCCTTTGAAGTAAGATTTAAAAAAAAAGATTATTTACACTTTATTACAGTTTTGTAATAGTTTAAAATATCCTTAGTATTTTATTAAATCAAGAATAAGTAAAGAATTTATTTTTTTTTGTATTTACCCTATGTAAGTAAACAACAATGTTTTTAAAATGGAAAAAAACTTTTTAGCATTGAAACTTTGAATTGCTACCCTTTAAATCGGACATTCGACTGTCTGCGAAGAAACAATTTAACGTTAAAAAAAATCTTTAAATGGTAACGTCATGAAAGGTGATGCGTGACTAGTACTGCTTTAGAGCTTATGTGGCAAAAGCTTGGAAAACATTTACAATCTAAACTAAGCTACTCCAACAACTAGGTTTCAAGTGATATGGGTACATTGATCAGTAGTCAGTAATGAATGGGGAAAACACTACAAGCCTTGTATAAAATGACAAATGTTGAGATTTTTTTGAAATTCTGAGAAACTTTTTAAGCAATGTTTTTGTCATTACAGTGTTATAAACTGTGCTGCATGGTGACAAAACATTTGATTTTTTAAGTTTCTAACATGAATTCGATCACATCAAATGAATGGAATTAGCACATCGAAAAAATTGTTTTTACATATAGAAATGGATTGAAAAGTTTTGCAAAAATACGATACAAATACAATAGTGTGATGAGTTAGTACATTGAGAAAATGAACTGTTATCAAGCTACTAAATCCTTTTTAACCATACAAATCGGGAAAATAACAAACATAGACCATCAGTGATGCATTGGATCAGGTGTTATCGGAAAGTAAAGATCCCCTGTTAAATGTTTATAGTTATGATCGGGTCAACTAAAAATCTGTTGATCAATTACTATATAAATAATATTATAATGAAAAAGTTTGTCAGGATTCAATTTAATGATTGATTGTATTTGAAAACAAGTAATTGTATCGACCATAGAACTTGCGAAATTATTACTCTTACAAATACTGTTGATATCCTTTTTCATCAATTTAACTTGTTTGTTAATAGCTTGGCTTACTATAAATTGTTCGCACAAAGAGCGGATTTTTGTGTATTGAATCATCTGAGACATTTACACAATATGAATGTGATAGGGTTATGCCGAAACACATGTTCATTTGAATAAATATATAAACTTAAGTTACTTCACCTCGTCTATCAATATTTTTGAAATCGGAAGCAAAGTATCATTAAGAGTGTGTTAAACTGATATGTTTGGCATAAATAATAATTCATACTTGTATACAGGAATTGGAGTTCAATTTTTAAACATGTATGAGACATTTTTAAAATACGTATTCTTAAAGCAATTTTTTTTTTTGACTATGCATATAAAATTAAACTTAGAAACGATGTTTTGAGAAGGATATGAAGATAACGAACAGTATTCAAAATCAAAGTACATAAAACAATACGAAATTGGAGCAGAGCAAACACGGACCTCCGAAACATCAGAAATGGGATCAGGTGCCATGGAGGAGTGAGCATCTCCTGCTGACCTGTCACACCCGCCGTGTGCTCCTTGTCATGATCGGGAAATAACGGAAAAATCACTGACAATAAGTATGAAAAACGTCAGTCAGCATTTGTCTCAATGATAAATTGTATTTACTATTGTATTTAAATTGTATTTACTTACAAGGTCATTGTAGCGACCACAAAATTTACGAAATGGTGACTTTAAACGAGACTGTTGATATTCTTGTTTCATCAACTTGCTTGTTAATACATATAATTACCTCGTTTTAAAAATTGTTCACACGTAGAGCATGCTCTTGCGTATCGTATCAACTGAGATATATAGACTCCGTATTCAGGTAATGAAGGTATATTGCTGCATAAGTAAGGGAAGTTGACGATAGAAAAGTTTAAGTCATCACGTTTATCATAAAGTTTGGTTGTTAGATTACCATTAACGTTGAAATAGAAATATAATAGTCTAAATAAATATTTTTTAGAGATAAACCCATTTTTCCGTAACGCATGGTCTGTAGAAATGGTAATGATTTCCCGACAGCTATGAGTGAAACGGGAATTGAATCATCTGCATCGTCCTTTTTTCTTTCGGGATTCACAATTTGAAATATTTCAAAACTGCAAAATAAAATGTCATTATTAAAGAAATTTCTTTTATAAAACTGGCTTTTATACCGTAACTTTATGGACATAATGCATGTTACGAAGAAAAGCGACACATACAGGTTTGTCTTATAAATTTTACTTGAACAATGGTAAAATGTTGTCTTACATGTTTTGAAAATATATATTTTCTAATTCCATGAACTAGCTTCAAATGCCAGTTAATTTTGTTAAATATGGAGGATTAAATGTACGTAAAGTTATGTTTTTACTGTCACACTGAAATTGAAATAATCGATTGTAATTGTGAAAATGAAATCACCCTCTTTTAAAAGTAAAGTTATCATAGATCTATATAGGCAGGATTTTCCTATCGTTTATTTGATTATTTGATAGATTGATTATATTTATGGCATATTCTTATGAATTAAAAAAGATCAATTTTGTTGTTTCTTCTTTATAACATTGGCACATGCGGTAGGCATCAACAGCCTGAATGTTAATTCGATGGTCGGTACAATCTCCAGACAAGGTACACAAGATATACACAACGACAGTAAACTAAATGTCAATCAGATCAAAGTATCAAATCCCAGGCTTAATTTCAGATGATTGAAAAGGCTTCTAAGATCAAGTAAATTTGAAGGAGGTGTGTATTTTCTCCCCTTTAAACAATGTAAAACGGGGAAGACATAGACAGACTTCCAATAGACCAGTTTGCCTTTATTATATATTTATGATAACTCTTAGACTTAAACATAGAAATACATTAAGATATAGCGTAGACCGTATTCACTTAGGATCTTAGATGTTACATTATATTATAATCAGATGCAAACCTACCGGGTACGTCTACTATGCACCTACACCATCATTTATCTACGATAAAAGATGGCAACTTTACTACTGCATGACCCTAGTTGGACAAAGCCCCTAGGAGAAGTAAGCCCTCCCCGGCGACTGACCAGATCCGCGATAACCCCCACACTGCTCCCGGTCATTATTAGCCAACAGAAAGATCCGAATACAATTCAGTGTTATGCCAAATAGTAGGTAAAAAACGTCATTCAGCATCCATTTCAATGTTTGATTGACTTGCAGACAAGGTCATTGGTTCGATCAAAGAACTTGAGAAATGATAACTTGATAGTCTTGTTTCATTAACTTCTAAATCGATTGTTACTTATTATTATTTATTTCTCTTACATAGTGAATGTTCTTAATTATTGAATCAATTGAGAGACAAATCCTCACAGACGATAAATGAATTTAAGTCAACATGTTTATCGTTTTTGTTATTAGGTTACCATTTACGTCTTTTTCAAGTGAAATATCAATATGAACCAAACGTATCAGACATTGTTGTATCTTTTATTTCAAGCTAGCTGGGATATCTAGTCTTTCAAAAAGAAAACAAGATGTGTTTGTGTAAAACAGATGTCACATATGGCAGCGGATAACGAGGCCTGAAAGTTCTCAAATGCAAGTCAACTCCAAGTGCAAGGTCAAAAGGTCAAAATTGTTAGTACCCAAAGAAAGGTATTTTCACAAGAAAGAAACAAGTGAAGTGGAAGCCTTAATACTTACCGTTCAATTGTGATGACAAAGTAAGATCTTCTGAAATGTAGGTAAAACTTTAAGGTCAAGGTTAAATTATTTTCACTATTTGAAACGTTTTGTCACAAGAAGTATACTTGTTAAGTATGAAAACCCTAGTTCAAACTGTACAAAAGTTATGGCCAAGGTTTAAGTTTGTTGTTTTTGGTAAAAGTATTTCAAACACTAGGGTCAGAGGTCAAATTAGGTGATATCCGAAGGAAGTCTTATATATACTTATGGAATGTGAAAATGATAGCCCCACGCACGCAAAAGTCATGGACAAGGCTAAAATTCAATTGTGGACAAACAGACAGACAGACGGAAGAACAGAGCCAAAATTATATATACCCGAATCTTCGACTTCGGGGAAATAATTATCGCCGACTGAAGAATTTTTTAATTCTGTAATTTATACACATTCAAAATAGATTAAACGAAACATCTTAAGGGAACATTTTTAATATTAGACAATAAATTTATTCTATATGCAAGAGAACTCAATAGATCTTCCATCCCGAGAACGATGAATACCATCCTCTTGCATAAGCTGCGAGATGCCCGGAAGCCACAATGACCTTGTATCCTTTCTTGAGACGGACAACAATTGTATTGGAACCGCCATTCCAAAATTTTTGTGACGTGTGCGTATTGATAATTGCAGTGAATCCTTTGTATGTACCATTAACTTTAAGGTATGGGTGAGCTGCTTTACCAGGATCAGTCAATGTTGTCCAGGTAAACACATATACGCACCAGAAGGCGCTGTAAAGGTTCCTGTTGCTTTGTTGTATGCATTACCATCGTTCACAAGAACTGTGTCATAGATCCATGTCTCGTCTTGCTTGTAACTTTTTGTTTTTGAAAGGTAAGCAGAAAATGCAACACTGTCTGGAAAATTTGAAAAAAAATTATCAACATTTTTTTATGATTCATTCCATGTTATTTAAAATATACTGTACACAGCAGGCATGAAAGGCTAAAAAAGTAATTGAAAAATGACATAAAATTGAATATTATCGTGGTTGTTGTATTATCTCTTTAAATCAAATACTTAAAAAAATTACCATGAACAGCATGTCCACATTTGCCTTCTTTGATGACCGAGTCTAATCCTTTCTCCATATTGCTTGCCTGCATTTTCAAATATTCTAAAAGCGACTTGTGTCCAGAAACAACATTGATCGCCACAATTAACACAATTATCATTATGTTTCTCATCTTTTCTGAAATCTTAAGGATTGAATACATTGTTATATAATTATATTTTATTTAAAAAAAAGAAAAAAAGGAGGATAATCGAGCAGAAAAGTAGTTTTGAAAATATATGTATTAAAAACAAATAGGAGAGTTCTCACCTCAGATGATTAGTTTCAACTCTCAATTCTCATAATTCATTTGTTTGTCCATTTTTATAAGGCTAAAAAAACATTTGTAATACATATCCACGCGATGAAATCTGATACGCATGCAATTTTTTTATTTAGGAATTTTTTGAATGCAAATTCTAAATGATTTATTGATCAAAAGTAAAATGAATATTAGCGTAGATCTTTATAAAGATATATACAAATGCATTTTTATAATCAGTGATCTAAATTTCATGACAAAGTGGTTAAGTTTAATTATTTTATTTTAAATTTTTTTTAATTCATGTTCCAATAACTTCTGGGTAAGGTTTTTACATATGCTAATAAAAGCTAAACTCAAGAGCGTGCTACATCGATTTTTTAACTGAGGTGACTACACGTACTTCTGTCCCAGAGATTTCAACAAACACATAAAGTTAGCATTTACATGTAAGGTATGTCACTTGTGAAATTTGTAAAACCAAGGATTTTTTTAGAAGTATATTTTGAATAAGTACTCATGTAGAGTGACTCAAAATCGCAGAGAAAATAGGGGGCCAGTGTTCATCTTACTGATCTACGTTACAATGATGTTGACCTTTTTGAACTTAAATTTTAACTCTTTGGTTAATTACTTAAACCTTTATTATATTATTTCAGATGTAAACATAACAAAAAATATTATCTAATTTTACGTTAAATATTTTGAACAATATTTATCATTGAAAAAATCTTGCAAATTAATGCGAGTAAATTATTGTGTGACCTTTTTGCACTAAAAAGTACCATATTTTGGGGTATTAAATACAAAATAGGCAACATTTTTTTAAACTAAGTTTTTTACGACTTAAGTGCTGATCAGTCACAAGTATCGAATACTTTAAAATA